AGGAAATAGCTTTCTTTTCCCGAAAGTGGCCAGAGGTGACCTCTGAAAATGGTTCGCTGTTCACTTGACCCAGAAAACCCCACAAAATCACGCAAGTCAAGAGGTTCAAATCCTCATGTTCACTTTAAGAACACTTGGGAAACTGCCCAGGCCATCAAAAGTATGCATATTTGAAAAGCCAAGTATCTGAAGGACCTCACTTTACAGAGGCAATGTGTGCCTTTCCGTCGTTACAATGGTGGAGGTGGTAGGTGTGCCCAGGCGAAACGGTGGGGCTGGACACGGTCAGTGGCCCAAAGAGAGTGCTGAGTTTTTGCTGCCCATGCTTCAAAATGCAGAGAGCAATGCTGAACTTAAGGGTTTAGATGTAGATTCTGGTTATTGAGCACATCCAGGTAAACAAAGCTCCCAAGATGCACCATAGAATTTACAGAGCTCATGGGCGGATTAACCCACACTGAGCTCTCCCTGCCATACTGAGATGCTCCTCACTGAGAAAGAGCAGGTTGTTCCTAAACCAGAAGAGGAGGTGGCACAGAAGAAAAAGATGTCCCAGAAGAAATTGAAGAACAAAAACTTATGGCCTGGGAGTAAATTCAGCATAAAATAGAGACTAATGAAAGTAAGAAAAGAAATAGGAAATATATTTTTGGAAACTATACATTGACTATAGCATTTTCCCCCCCAAATGTAATTTCTTTTAACTCAGGGGAGTTGTGCATATCTGAAAACGAAAGAAGGCTTGTTTCTAAAGAGGCCTGGAGCAAACTGCAGCAGTACTTTCCAAAGGCTCCTGAGTTTCCAAGTTACAAAGAATGCTGTTCACAGTGCAAGGTACTGAACGCTGAGCTGGGAACGCACGCCACCTCCCCGCACCGACTCCTCGAGAACTAACTTTGTTCTTCTGATGGGGGTGTGGGGAGGAGGCAGGTCATCTGCCACCAGGAGATGGCTGATTGCTTCATTCTCTTTCAGATTCTAGAAAGAGAAGGGGAAGAAAACGAAGCCTTACATAAGATGATTGCAAATGAGCAAAAGACTTCTCTCCCGAATTTGTTCCAGGACAAAAACAGACCTTGTCTTAGTAACTGGCCAGAGGTATAATGATCCCCACCAAGGATAGAATCCATCTTAGTTTTTAAAGGCTCTTCCCAAATCCCGCCCCCCACATTCCTGATGTACTGTTTCAAAACAACCCAGAGCTTCTCTGATTCTCATTTGTTTAGTTTTCATCTAGTCATGGGGCTTTACTCTAGCTCTTTCTTGGTAGAGGAATGTGTTGCTGTTTTATTTATAAAACTTAAAAAGGAAAATCATAGTACATGGAAAAACATTTTCCCCCGCAAGGACTTAGGTTAAGAACGCAGTGAATTAATGGATACTCTTATGTGACTTTTCTATTCTAGGATACGGATGTCCTCTACATTGTCTCACAGTTCTTTGTAGAAGAGTGGCGAAAATTTGTCAGGTAGAGTCCAAAATTTTTCTGTTTCCCTTTTTTGGGGATATATTTTAGTGTTTTTAAGAATTCATGGCTTCTGATCATGATACCCCTTTAGTTACTTTTGTTAGCATGTGACTGAAAGCTTTCTTTTAAGTTAAAGAAATAAACAAAAGAAACATTTAATTACGAATATCCTTTGAAATATACCTCCCATTTTAAAATAATTATCGTAACACTTGTCTTTACTCCTGTAGTAGTGTAGTGTATTGATCCCCCTTGTCTCCTCTGAGTAGGAAACCTACGCGATGCAGCCCTGTGTCATCGGTCGGAAACAGTGCCCTTCTGTGTCCCCACGGGGGACTCATGTTTACATTTGCTTCCATGACCAAAGAAGATTCTAAACTGTGAGTTTCTTCTCTTCATGTGATGTTTTTGTTTCTAATGATTAGGAAGTTTCTCATCTGACATAAAGTCGTTTTAAGAATCTAGTCTTTTGCTCCATTATGTTTTTTTTTTCCCCTCTTTTATATGCACTCAACTAGAGGGAGCATTTTTTTTAAAAAAAAGGACGGCTACTCCATAAAAGGCAAGAGGCTGACCACGAGTACCTTGCTCTTAATGTTTCCTCCTCCTTTGTGGAGCCCTGCTTTCTCCTCTCAAGCTGCTGGCAACAGTGTCTCTAGGTGGTCTTCTCCCAGGATCACATAATCACCAGTGTCTCTGTTATAGTTTTTTATCTGTAACCCCTAGGCTTCCTAAAATAGAGGAGGAGGAAGGCAGCATATCACTGAGCTGGAATTCTAGGGTCTTAAAACCAAAATTTTGTTCCACTCCTCAAGTGGTTCCAAAAGGGCTCATCGATGAAATTCACCCGTGATGTTACCAGTTTGTTGTTTGAAGTAGTTTTTAAGTAACCACGTAAGAGAAGGTAGAATGCTTCTGACTTTGCCTGCAAACCATGAAAAGAACATTGAAACATCATAATTCAGTATTCCTCTGGGACAAAGCCATAGAGTTAGCAGTTTAGTATTCATATATCAATACTTGAACATCAGTTAAGGAGTCCTAGGGGATATATGTATATATTTTCTTCTAGGTTCTCCCCTTTCTCTCTCTTGTCTTTTGTTTATTGTGTTGTTTTTTGTTTGTTTGTTTTGTTCTAAATGCCAGGCATCCAGGAAAATATCTATAATAATAAAACAAATAAATGTGGGCCACCAACCAGTTTAAAAGTTAAACAATTGAAATGTAATTGAAGGGCTCTCAGTACATAGCCTTTCTTTCATTCCTCCTTTTTTCTCTTCATTTCTGACTGTATCTCAGTAACCACTGTCCTGAATTTGAGGATTATCAGTCTCAGTATTTCTTATAGAACACACACACACAGAGTAATGTTTTGCATGTTTAAATTTTTTTTTGGCTCTGGCCCGTGTGGTTCAGTTGGTTGGAGTGTCGTCCCATGCACCGGAAGATTACCGGTTCGATTCTCGCTCAGGGCACATGCCTAAGTTGCAGGTTCGATCCCTGGTTGGGGTGTGTATTGAAGGCAACAGATTAATGTTCCTCTCTCTGTCTTTCTGTCTGTCTGTCTCTCTCCTATCCCCTTCTCCTTCCCTTCCCTTCTTTCTCTCTAAAATCAGTAAGAAAAACATATCCTTGGATGGGGATTAAATAAATAAATAATTAAAATTATTTTGTGTAAATGGTATTATGCTATATTTATTCTTCTGCATCTAACTTCTTTTTTCTCAGTTTAGGTTTTAGAGATTAAACCAAGTTGATTCATGTGACTCCAGTCCACTTTGTTTCTCAGCTTTTGTAGCATACATTTGTGTGAAAAAAAAACCCGACTGTTCCTCGTTGATGATGATGTATCTTTCCCCTCTGATTCCTTTGTATCAATGCTGATTTTGGTGATTTGGGTTTAGGAGACTAATGGATGATGTGAGTTCTCTTAATTTCCATGTGTCTTAAGGCATGTTGTGTGGTTTTTTTTGCACAGTATAGCTCTCATATGGCCCAGTGAGTGGCAAATGATACAAAAGCTCTTTGTTGTGGATCATGTAATAAAAATCACAAAGACTGAAGTGGAAGACGTCAGTCCTTCGGAACCACAGTATATTTCTGATCCTAGTAAGTTTTCATACTGCTCTTGGTTTGTGTGGCGTAAAGTTGACATTGTAAGGGGAAGGAAGAGCATGTCGATATTGTGTCTTCTACTTAAAATTAAAGATCAGCCCTGGCCAGTTTGACTCAGCGGTTAGAGCGTTGGCCCGCGGACCAGAGAGTCCCATGTTCGGCGTCTGCTAAGGGCACGTACCTCAGTTGCAGTTTGTCCCCGGCTCCGGTTGGGGTCATGTGGGTAGCAACTAGTCAATGTGTCTCTCTCACATTGACGTTTCTCTCTCTTCCCCACTCTCTCCCTCCTGTTCTCTCTGAAGATAAGTGAAAAAATGTCCTCAGGTGAGGATTAAAAAAAATAATAAAGATCATGTAGCAGTCCACGCGAATACTTCCCGGCTGGGAGCTGTAATATAATTATATCATTGTTTGTATGTTTATTTGTTGATAGTAAATGGGTTTTCTTAATACTATTTGCATATAACAGAATACACAATTGATAGAAAATATGAGTAATTGTTTAACTTTTACATGTTTTTAAGATCTTTGGTGTTTCGACAGAAACTCCTCAGCCATTTCTATTTTTCTTTTCTGTAGAACTCTGTCCAGAATGCAGAGAGGGCTTGTTGTGTCAACAGCAGAGGGATCTGCGAGAATACACTCAAGCCACCATCTATGTCCATAAAGTCGTGGATAACAAAAAGGTACTGGTCCCTCTTGTGGCCGTAACTGGTAACGGTCAAACTTGCTTTTTTTGACTTGCTGTTGGAGTTTCACTGAGGACTGCCTAGGATCACATTTTTGTTTCCTTGGAGCTTTTTGGTATATGAATTAAAACTAGACAAGAATTGGAAATGAATAGTTCTATGATTGCATGTGGATTTAGTCAGTGATTCATTCAAGAAACAAATACTCACTGAATGTCACCTGTGTGCCTGGAATGGTTTAACTGCTAGGGATACAGTCTGAAGAAGACAGGCAAGGTACCCCTCAAGAACATTTGTACCTCATGAGGAAGATCACGGATAAGCCCATACGTTTATAAACCCGTAATCCGTAAATTCATTTGATTTCACAGGGGGAGGAGTGTTTTGAAGTTAATTTAGCAGGGTAAGGTGAGAGACTGACAAAGGTAGAGGTAAAAGTATTAGGAAGTAGGCAGGAAAGGCGACTTGGATCCAGCCTCGGAAGAGTATTCCAGCCAAAGGGAAGAGGGGACAAGGGATGAGCCTAATGTGCTCAAGCCGTGGAGTGAACATCATTGTATCCCTAGGCGCACTGCACGGTCCAAGGGAACTTCCTACAATGAGAGAAGGGTTCTGTGCACTGGGTACTGTGGCACTGCTGGATACATATGACTGTGGAGCACTTGAATCATGGCTAGGGTCACTGTGACTGGGAGGCTGAGTTTTTAGTTCATTTACGTTTAAATGGCTTGCATGTGGAAATATGTCTGCTCCTTATTCCTTCGGGAGCAGGAATACATCCATAACATGCTACAGTATAAAGGAGTTCTCAGGGCTGCCAACCTTACAGTAGAGGTTGAGTAGTAGTATATTTCTCGTACATAAAAAAGAAATAAAAAATTTAAAAATTTAAATAGCCACATGGGGCCACTGGATGTCGTAGTAGAGAGCACCATTCTGGAGTAAAGTTTCTCCTAAGGAGGGATAGTGATGGGATGAGGGACCAAATGCTGTCTGACTTTGTATATCATACCAAGGACTTGGGATCTATTTTTTTTATCCTCATCCGAGGACATTTTTCTATTTTTTGTTCAGATAGAGTGGGAGGGAGAGAGAGGAAGAGAGAGAGAAACATCAACATGAAGGGACACATCAAGTGGCTACCTCCCGCACAACCCAACCAGGGCCGGGGACAAATTGCAACCGAGGTACGTGCCCTTAGCGGGAACCGAACCTGGGTCTCTCTGGACCGCAGGCTGATGCTCTAACTGCTGAGCCAAACCATCCAGGGCAGGACTTGGGATCTTATTCTAAGATGTAAGCCACCGGAGAGTTTCAGGCAAGGTTATGGTGTGATCTGATTTATGCTTTACAAAGGTCATCCTGGCCGTTGTGTTTGGAGTTGGTGAGGGCATAACAGGATGGGGAAAGCCAATGTAGAGCCTCTTGCATTATCTACAAGGGTAGGTAGAGTGAACTGATTTGGGTATATTTGGAGTAGAGGTGTTAAAACTTGCTATGGATTAGATTGGGAGCATTTTTTAAATTTAGTGTTGGGCCCGGCTGGTGTGGCTCAGTGGTTGAGCATTGACCCATACACCAAGAGGTTGCCAGTTCGATACCCCGTCAGGGCCCATGCCCAGGTTGTGGGTCCTATCCCCAGTGGGGGGCATGCAGGAGGCGGCCAGTCAGTGTTCTCTTTCATCGATGTTTCCATCTCTTTCTCCCTCTTCATTCCTCTCTCTCTCTCAAACCAATAAAGAAAAGTATATTTAAAATTTAGTATTGGGGGTGACTCTTAGGTAGATCCTGACTTAGATTTTTGGACATCTCATTAATTTGATTCCAAGTTTTTGGAATTAAAGATAAAATAAAATACTTTTTATTTGATAGCTACCAAACACATTGTTATAGAAGGGCAACTTGCAAAGTATGCCGTAAGGGTCCGGGGTTCTGCCTTACAAGTCAGACTGTCTTCACTTCCTAAGAATTAAAATTACACCATTTGAAAATGAATAGCCATGTTATTATATGTGGAGTTAGCCAATTATTAATGAGAAAATGAATTGAATGAGCATAAATGTCTTCGTTTTTTCCCCTTGAAATTTTCTTGCCTTTCGTACCTATTAGTACATGTATATGTTGGTATCTAGTATTAAATAGTATCCAGTTGAGCCAAGGTTTTGTTATTTGAGTTTAATAACAGTGTTTCATAGAGCAAAAGAGCCCTTTATTTTCACCCTTCATGTTCTCAATTTAAAAAAAAATTTTTTTTGACTGGGGTGACATTGGGTCATCATTTCAGTCTTAAGGAGCATTGTGACTCCTGCTGTCTGAACCATTTGAGGCCTTAAAAAGGCCCGGCAATCTCTGTTCTCAGGAAAATGTAGAGCATCTTTGAACTTCTGCAAAATAACATCATTGTAAAAGCCCAGTAACGATAACTGTTCTGTAGAGACTGTTTACATTTATGGCGATTGCATTAAATACAAGAAGAAATCATAGGATACAAACGAACACATTAAAAGAGTAAAGAAGACAGCGAGCCCCGGAGTCTTGATCCTCTGGTCTGTTATTCCACCGTTGATGAAGGTGCCCCTCCTCTTGAGAAGGGGGGCAGTCAGAGCCCCTCCATAGCTTGTCTTCCTAGTGTCTGACCTACTTCTCTCTGCTTTCCTGGCCCCTGTAGGTGATGAAGGATTCAGCTCCAGAGCTGAATGTGAGTAGTTCCGAAACGGAGGAGGATAAGGAAGAAGCTAAACCAGATGGAGAAAAAGATCCAGATTTTAATCAAGTACGTGTTGAAGCTGCTCTTCATTGCCATGCCGTCTGCTGTTCTGGGAGAGCAGCCACCGCGTGCCCCAGATGTCTCTCCGTACCGCGTGGAATTCTGCTTCTAGCTCCCTCCCTTGTCTTCCCTTTCCTTAGTTCTGGCGGCACATTGACAGTGTCCTGACTTCTCATGAGAAGCGGTGGACATTGTTCCAGAGTTAGTATAATGTAACAATTAGACTTTTTTAGCTGGAAAAGAAGACTGAAAAAAGACCCATGTCTTGGTTTATTGCTTAATCATGGAATCTTGATGTATGAAAAAGTGATTTAACTCAGATTCCCTTATTATAAATAGATGTAATAATGTAGTTTATAGATGAGATTTTTGGGTCTCTAAGTAGACAAATGATCAGATCAAGACTACGCCCTCCCCTTATTTGTTTGTTTGTTTGTGTTTTTTTTTGTTAATCCTCACCCGAGGATTATTTTTCCACTGATTTTTTTTTTTTTTTAGGGGGAGTGAAAGGAGGGAGGGAGTGGGAGAGAGAGATTATTTGGTTTCTTGGCTATATTCTGCATGCTCATTATATTGGAGAAAATGTCTTAAGAACAGGAAATAATGTGGGAATATGGTTGGTGTATGATCTAGATAAGTTTCAGCTCCTCCAAAAGTCACACCACTGTGTTCCAGGATATTCTATGGATACCTTAAATTCATGGAATTTCTACTCTACGTAGAGTTTAGTTTTAACAGATATTTATATTCTTTCTTTCTGCCAACATGCAGTATAGTCAAATGATGGTTAGCATTCTCTCCGCCGGAATACGTGTCATAATGGTCGTCTGCTGTATCTGCTACAGAGCAGAGCTCTCTGGGCTTGTGGGCCTGTCAGTACACACTGCCCCTGCTACTTCTTTTTTTTCTTTATTAATTTTAGAGAGAGAGGAACAGAGAAGGACAGAGATAGAAACATCGATGAGAGAGAACATCGACTGGCCACCTCCTGCATGCCCCCCACTGGAGATTGGGCCCACAACCTGGGCCTTTGTCCTGACCGGGAATTGAACTGGCAACCTCTTGGTGCATGGGTCAGTGCTCAACCACTGAGCCACACCAGCTGGACTCATTTTTAACATTGATTGAGAAAGTCTTAAAAGCCCTCTTTTTTTGTGTTTTTGTTTTTTTTTTTTAGAAATTTATTTATTCATTACACAGAGCCTGGGGTATCTTTTTTTTTCTTTTTTTATCCTCACCCAAGGACATTTTCCCATTTTTTTGTTCAGGTAGAGTGGGAGGGAGAGAGAGGAACAGAGAGAGAGAGAGAAACATCGACGTGAAAGGAACACATCGAGTGGCTGCCACCCGCACGACCGACCAGGGCCAGGGACAAACTGCAACCGAGGTACATGCCCTTAGCGGGAACCGAACCCGGGTCTCCCGGACCGCAGGTCGACGCTCTAACCGCTGAGCCAAACCGGCCAGGGCTTAAAAGCCCTCTTTGACTTAAGTCTTGGTCTCCCTGAGCTAAGCATTACTTGTAGTTTCCCAGTTGGCAGAGAGATACATCAGCATTTGCTTTCTGTGGCTGTCGGATCTCATAAATGTTAACTTGAGAACACCTATGAAAGAACAAAATCGTGCAGTTTTGTGCACCACCTTGTCGATGGCGATCAGCCTCTCGTTCAAGCTGTTCTGCCAGATCCGAATTGCAGTCTGCACTGGGGGCCCTTTGCTTCAGTGCCAGTTCAGATCTGTACATTTTATAGGGAGGCGGGTTTTCCACTTTGAAACGATGTTTTCCTATGGTAAATGATGCCCTTACTAAAATCTATGTACATATATGCCTTCTGTTCCTTGGGATGGTTGTTAGATTGCAGTGTCAAATAATAGGTCTCTTGGTAGGAGTTTGCAAACCTGTCTTTCTGTTGTGTCGCTTGTCAGCCTTTCATGTCCCATCTCCTTTTACAGTCCATCTTTCATGTCACAGATCCCCAAACAAGTCTGTTTGCTCTTCTAGTTGATTTGTGAGAAGTGTGTGTGTGTGTGTGTGTGTGTGTGTGTACGTACGTGTGTACGTGTGAACATACCCATCCTGATTTAGGACTTCATTCTCTCTGATTTGCTTGGCTGGCAGCACCATACCGGTTTATTTATTTATTTATTTAAAGTAAAGTACTTTATTTTATTTTTTTTATCTTCACCCAAGGACTTTTTTTTTTTTTTCCCAGATAGAGTGGGAGGGAGAGAGGGGGAAAAAAGAGAGAAACATCAGTGTGAGAGAGACACATCAAGTGGTCACCACCCACACAACCCCAACTGGGGCTGGGGACAAACTGCAACCGAGGTACGTGGCCCTTAGCAGGAACCGAACCTGGGTCTCTCTGGTCTGTGGGCCAACGCTCTAACTGCTGAGCCAAACTGGCCAAGGTGGTACCATACTATTTTAATTGTTATCTCTTAGGAATATGGTTTAATGATCAGTTGGGAATCTTTTTTTTTTCCTCTTTCACTTTTTAAAATTTTTTATTACCTGTTGACATCAACTTATTTTCTATCCTTATGGTAAACTTTTAAATTAGTTTGTAAAGCTTGATATGTTAGTTCTTACTGTCCTTAGTTTCTGTTATTTCAAGCTTTGTTTTTTCAGCCTAGGAAGTCTTTAGAAAACTCTTTACATTTTCAAGTGATTTAGATTTTTGGAAGCTGACGTTTTTGAATATGTAGTTTTATTCATTATGGTCATAACCACAGCAATTTACAGAAGTGAACGTGGAATTTTCAGTCGTGGATGACAACTGATTTCACATTGACAAATATGATAGAGAATGTTGGGAAACATTGCTTTTCATGCTATAATTACATTTTATACTTTGTAATTTTCTTCTGTCTTCCTTCTCCTTGTTTGGATGTTGTAATACTCTAGAATGTTTTAAATAGTTCTTGCCCCACAGGAAAATCTCCAGTGCAACCTTCCTTCTTTAGAAAGGAGTCAAGTCCCAGAATGTCAGCCTCCCTAAACCTTTTCTTTGTAACAGTTGACCCTTGAGCAACACTGGCATTAGGGCTGCCAACCCCCTGAACTGTTGTAATTTCACGTGTGACTTTTTTATTC